AATAGAAGATGCACAACAACAAGAAGCTGACCTGCTGGCAAAGTGGCAAAGGATTATGGGAATTAACTATGAAATAGTGGTAGGTTAGCTTTCCCTCCATAATTTCTTAACTTGCAACTGTATTTGAGCAGACAGTTCAAGGGAATAATAGAGTCAATCATCAGAGTTCCAGAGAAGAATCAAATGTCCAGGCCTTTTTTAGATGACCTAAATGTGGTAATTTAGGTAATAAAAAAAATTAAGGTTGGAGAAAGACAAGTAACAAAGGAAGTGAAATAAATGGGATTGAAGTTTTGAAACTTGTATTTTATCAGTATTTTAATATTTCCAGTAATATGAATACTATAGATACAAGGAAGGGTTTTTCTGCTTTTTAAACCTATGATTTATAGAAATTAAACAGAATGAGAGTTTCTTTAAAAATAAAACAAAATTATCACGACTTATGAACAGAATCATCAAAGGACTCTTTCCTACTCTTTCATTTACCTTACTATGTACTTACCTTCCTGAAAAACACCTGCATACTTTTTTCATACCACTTATGCTGTGGCGAATGTTTTGTGTTTATTTAGCAGCCTGTATATCTAACATAGCCATTGTGATCTACCATCCCAAAAGGAAGTCTAACAAAATTGATAGAAATTACCAATGTTAAGATACATACCAGCACATTTCAGGAATTTCAAAAGGAAAAATGAAATATTATACTATGTTAGGTAGAATTTTTCATATTTCTTATATTTATATACCTCTAGATGAAAAAGGAGAAAATACAACAGATGACATATATTAATAACAAGCATTTATAGAGTATTTTGTGCCAAGCAGCAGTGTTCTTAGTGTTTCATTTAATACTCATGACCATAATCATCATTTTTTTTTTCATCTGGTGAATTTTTTCATTTGGTGAAAAGCGAGACTTTTTCACTAGAAAAGGTCTCACTCTGTTACCCAGGCTGGAGTACAGTGGTGCAATCATGGTTCACTGCTGCCTTGACCACCAAGCCTCAAACTGTACCCCTGCCTCAGCCTTCCAGGTAGCTGGGACTACAGGCGTGCTGCACCACACCCAACTGATTTTTATGTTTTTTATAGAGTGGGTTTCACCCTGTTCCCCAGGCTGGTCTTAAACTTTTGAACTCCAGCAGTCTGTCCCCCTCAGCCTCCCAAAGTGCTGGGATTACAGGCATGCACCACTGTACCTTAGTATAATTTTTTTTTAAACATTCAAAATGATTAACAGTCAAATATGAATTGAGTAAGTATAGCTGTTATTACCATTTTAAATTGAGTTAAGGAAAAATACATTAAGGTTCATCTTAACAATGGTTAATTTAATATGAAACTTCAGAAATTATTTTCATGGAGGGATAGGGTTAATGTGGCAGGTATGGATAACTGAGACAGCATTTCTTTGTGTGGCAATTGAATAATGAAGGAGACCTTTTGACTAGCCATTTTGTCACAGGCATCAGACCTCAGACTGAACTTTTTAAAAAATTTTACTTTAAGTTCTGGGATACATGTGCAGAGTATGCAGGTTTGTTACATAGGTATACATGTGCCATGATGGTTTGCTGAACGTATCAACCTGTCATCTAGGTTTTAAGCCTTGCATGCTTTGAGTATTTGGCCTAATGCTATCCCTACCCTTATCCCCATTCCTTTGACAGGCCCCGGTGTGTGATGCTCCCCTCCCTGTGTCCATGTGTTCTCATTGTTCAATTCCCACTTGTGAGTGAGAACATGCGATGTTTGGTTTTCTGTTCCTGTGTTACTTTGCTGAGACTGTTGGCTTCTAGCTTCATTCATGTCCCTGCAAAGGACATAAACTTTCTTTTTAATGGCTGCATAGTACTCCATGGTGTCTATATGCCACATTTTCTTTATTCAGAGACTGAACTTTTAACTGCCCTTTGTGTACATGCTTTCTTGGTGGCATTCCTAGTAATCTGTCAAGGGCAGAAGTGTACAATAAATGAAAAATGCCTAAGTTATTTATGGACCTTGGTCAGATCAAGGTAAATAAGACATAGATCTGACTTCAAGTTTTTTGCTGTGTAATGATAGAGCATAAATGAAATCATGATGTAGTGTAACAGGACTAATGGACATTATTGGATGGGACATTCTCAGAGGAAGTGATGTCTAAATTGGGTTTTCAAGGGTGAGAAGGATTTTGTCCAGTATTAGGCTTCAAAGTCAGATGATACTGCTTCTGAAAGTGACTTCTGCACATGTTATCATTAAAATTTGAAAGAGCTCTTGTTAGTGAAACTTTTTTTAGTCCTTTATCCCTCAGTTTCCTTAGCTATAACTATAAAGTAAAAAAAATAAAGTAGATCATCTTTGGCATATGTTATAATTACTGGATTCTATGTGAAAATGAATGGTTTCCTAACATTTTTCTTTATTTAATGTGACAGTAGGAAATTGGAAGTTCATTCTTTTGTTTTAAGCTTTTGATTATTTTTAAAGACCATAATCTCTGGATATAGCATAAAACCAGGAATGTGGGTCTAAGTTCTTTGTTTAGAGTCAAAGCCCTTTTCTAGCTGTGCAACTCTGGTTCTTGTAACTTTTCTGAACTTCATTCTTCTACTTGGGAAACAAGGAGAGAAATTGTACCTATTTATCAGAAACAAATGAGACCTATGTAATGGCTGCTTGCAGCTCGCTGCTTCCTTTCAGTTGGTTAGTTCATGAAGTCAAAAGACAGCAGTACTCTTTCAAAGGAAAAGCCCAAAGCTTTAAAGTTTTACAATACGGTTTTTGAAGCTTTGTGAGTAAGATGACCACTTTTGGGTGAACATAAAACATTAAGTGTGTGCATGAGTAGAAATAGTAGAATATGAAAATCATGGTGATTTTGTTTTTCTTTTCAGGTGGCCCACGTGAGCAAGTTTAGTGAGAACAGTGGACTGGGGATAAGCCTGGAAGCAACAGTGGGACATCATTTTATCCGATCTGTTCTCCCAGAGGGTCCTGTTGGACACAGTGGGAAGCTTTTCAGTGGAGACGAGCTACTGGAAGTAAGGAGCTATATTGTTCCTTCTCCTCCTTAAATAAGACATAGAAAAGGTTGCAAGAGGCTTAATGTGCTGATTAAGTTCTTATTTTAAATTTCTCCTCCAAAGGGATCCTGAGAGAAATCTACAGATAAAAACAACCCAAAGCAGAAATTTTGTATCTTTGTGTACATTTAGCTTTAGACCTAATTCTGTGCCGTTTTTTACTTAGGTCCAGAGAACTATGACAACATTCTTTGAAAAATTTTTAATCTTTATTTTTAGAATAAGTAATATGTTTACATGTTTAAAATCACAGAGAATACAAAGATAAAGAATGGAAAAGAGGCTCCTTTCTATCCCTATCCACCCAGTTCACATCACTCTTCTTTAGGTAACTACTAAACTACTAATCTGTTTCTTTGTAATCTGCCAGTACTTTTAATGCATAAATAAGAAAATTTGAATATATTGTTTTCCCTTATTTTAAAAACACACTAGCATGCAATATATGTCATTTTCTATTTTTTTCACTTTATAATTATACAAAATATCAAAGTTTTACAATATTCTTCTCTTGCTCCTTTTATTCTTCAAAAATATTTTTATTGTCTCTTTTTTCCCAGACTACTACACTGGCAGATCAAACATGGATGAAAGCTAGTGGTTTTTATTTATTTATTTTTTGAGTGCTTTAGAAGCTCCAATTCTAACCATACTTTACACTTGCACATAAATTTAGATGGCATTTCCACAGTTCTCACTGTAATTCTGAGCACAGTAAAACTATGGTAATGACTAAAGTAAAATTTATATTTATTTAATAAAAAGTTGTGTTCACAAAAATATTCATATTATGAAGTGTTGTTTCTTGGACAATGTATCTTTTTTCACAGGTAAATGGCATAACTTTACGTGGAGAAAATCACCAAGATGTGGTAAATATCTTAAAAGAACTGCCTATAAAAGTGACAATGGTGTGCTGCCGTCGAACTGTGCCACCCACCACCCAATCAGAATTGGATAGCCTGGACTTATGTGATATTGAGCTAACAGAAAAGGTATCAGATTTGCGTATATGAGGCTAACTGATAATGGAAAGGTTAAATGGTTTAAAGATTTTTAAGCATTTTTAAATTGGGTTTTGGATTTACTCACGTAGCCCATGGCTTGGAGGATAGGATTTAAAGTCAGACAAATCTGGGTTTGAATCAGACTTGACCACTAGCTGTAGGAAATTGGGCAAATCACTTCATCTTTCTAAACCTCAGTTTTCAAATCAGTAAAATGTAAGTCATGATGCCTGTCTCAGAAAGTTTCCCTGAAGGTTAAATAAGGTTATGAAATCATGTTAGATATTATTGCACACTACATACTTGTTTAATTTATTTGCAGTATTTCTATGAAGTAGATGGTCATATTTGTCTCTGTTTGCAGAAGAGAAAACTGAAGTATGTAAATAGTGTATGAATAGTACATATATGGTAAAAAAATATTTTTACATAATCTACCCAACTCTGCCTGGCACGCAGTTACCACGTAGTGAATGGCTAAAATATGGATGGACACAGCATTTCTGTGTGGATAGGCTTTACTTGTTTATACTATCCTTTTATAATATGATAAATTTGAGTTCATAATGCTATATGTCAGATAGTTTTCTGTGACATTCAGAAACTCACATTTTCCTGTTTTCTTATTCTTTCCAATTCATATCATGATGTCAAGAAATGGAGCTAATCAACTTTTCTGATGGATATACAATACATACCTAAAGTTAAGCTTTGGACTTTGCATAATTTGTGGTCTAGTCAAATCTTATTTAAGATATATTGAGAGATGATGTTAGGATTTGATATATATTATATTTGAATGAATCAGCACAATGGAATGATTTTTAAAATTTTGAAGAATAAAATGCATAGTTTAATATTCATATGTGTCATTAGAATAGGGTAGAACAAGAAATGTAATTACAAATTTTTTTTTAAAAAACGATGGTTAGATGCCACAAAGTAGGTGGCAATGCCTTAACCGTATACGTGTTGTCAGGCCCAAGGGCCTCTTCCATCCTTGTCAAGGGGAGTGCTAACCTTTTTTCCTTTCATACAACACGTAATTCCAAATTTTATAGCACTCAAAGTCTAGCATGCTATGTATATATCCATACATGTTTTTACAGGTATAAAGGGATTATTAAAATAAAACAGATGGGTGTCATCTGCATCCATGGTCCTGGGCTATGCAATAATTGAATAGAAGCAAAGATATTATACAAACTAGAATTTCATCCTCATAAACACAGCTTTCTTTATGTGCATATAGATGAACAAAGCTGAATTCACCTAAATTCTTTAATTTATTTTCACTGAAAGAAGCTAACATTTTGAATCCCTATTTCTGTCAGATGCTTTATAAATGTTATTTCATTTAGTCCTCAGAAAATTCTACGAGATGGGTAACTGTGGAGCCCAGGTTAGGAATATTGCTCAATGTAACTCAGATTTCAAATATTCAAGCTGCTTCAAACTGGGGCAAATCTGTTTTCAAATCATATGTTTTGCCACTGTGTTTGTTGATTTATTAGTGAAATAACCGTATGCACAAGTCACAGCAGTTTAGAACTCGTTAGCATAGAGTATAGAACTTTTGCATATATCCATTTTCTCGTTTTTATTTATTATGCAAATTCTTTTAATATCAAAATAACTTTATATTTTTTTCTGATAATTGAAACACTGATGAAGAAAGTGACAGTCACCCACAATAATGCGGTTGAGAGGTAATCATTGCATATTTTCATAGACCTTTGAATCATATATTTTTAATGTTTGTTAAAACTTACATATTTCTTCATTTTTAACAACTTTCAATAATTACTACCTCAATTCCTAAAGGTTTCATGAAAAGCTGTTGCTACTCTTGTTTGAGAATGTTTTGTTCTGGACAGATGCTAGGAATATCCCTTTTCTTGTGGTGTTGGTATGTGTGTAAGCTAATCTAGTGCCTCTGAAATAAGAGCTGTCTGATGTGTTATCCAGCCTCATGTAGATCTAGGTGAGTTCATCGGGTCGTCAGAGACAGAGGATCCAGTGCTATCGATGACTGATGCAGGTCAGAGCACAGAGGAGGTTCAAGCACCTTTGGCCATGTGGGAGGCTGGCATTCAGCACATAGAGCTGGAGAAAGGGAGCAGAGGGCTTGGTTTTAGCATTTTAGATTATCAGGTAAGTATATCCTACTTAAATTTTTTTTTTTAAAGATGCTGTAAACTAAAGGTATATTGTTGTCAAAGAAAAAGCAGATGGTAGTTTATAGCCTTCAAAGATTTTTTTTTCTAGTCAATCTTTCAAAATAGTGATTTATATGATTCATTGATTATCATAAAGGATTTCTTTTAACATTGAATTCATTGAGCTATTTTTATTTCACCTCTTGAAAATTGGAAGATACATTTTAAGAATATCATGGTAGGATTTTTTTCCTGTTATCTGGAGAGTGTTTGTATTATTTTTATTTCCGTGCTCTTATTTGGTGGCTTATATTTTAATGGTAAGTCATAAAGAAGTAGATATTTCTTTTGTCTATAACATGAGTGATAATTTATAATCTGATATTCCAGTTAATATTTCTGCTCTTCCAATCATTTGACTAAATTTATGAACATACTTAAATTGGTCAAGTTTGGCCTTGTGTCCCTGCCTGCATTGTGTTCTTTGCTAAGGGAGGAGATGGTAAAGCCTGTCTGATAGAGTGCAGCTGTTGCTTCTTACTAATACTGAATCAGAAAGCTACCTCGGATGACTCCAGGAAGTTGTGTTCTTATGGAAGGTTGTTGTGTATCTGAAAATATTTCATTACCACATACTTTCTGGCTTCTCTCTTTGTTCTTTCATTTCGAGAGGCTGGGTCCTACCTTCAGTGCGTGTATATCTAGTAGTGAGTTCATGTTCCATACAGTAACATCCTATTTAACAAATACTTTTGTTAATAATTGATATATTCAACATCTGGCATCCAATGATAGTTATAAAATTTGATAACTTATCAAAGTTGAAATTACGATTTTAAAGTTATCTGTACAATTTAAGAGGTCTACTCAGGAACCTTAGGAAGTGAGGGTGCCATGTTTCAGGTGAGTTCTTCCTAAACCCTCTAAAATAGAGATAACCTTTGCCTAAATAACTAATTAGAAATTTTGTATGGATTTTTTTTTTGGCATGACAATGTTTAGACACTTGAAACAGTTACTCATTCCTTGTAATTTACAGTGACAACCTGTGGAATAATTTTCTTTGTAAAATGAGCTGACTCCTCTTTCCTTTTGCTTTCTGTCAGGATCCAGTTGATCCAGCTAGCACTGTGATTGTAATTCGTTCTTTGGTGCCTGGCGGCATTGCTGAAAAGGATGGACGACTCCTTCCTGGTGACCGACTCATGTTTGTAAATGATGTTAACTTGGAAAACAGCAGTCTTGAGGAAGCTGTAGAAGCACTGAAGGGAGCACCGTCAGGAACTGTGAGAATAGGAGTTGCTAAGCCTTTACTCGTAAGAATTCAGATTTTATTGCTTCCTTTTATATTTACAAGCAAAATGGTTCATAGGTCTACTTTTAGCTGTAGGTGTTCTCATGATTGAATCATGACTTTCAGTACTTTACATCAAAGATTTAATTTCAAGTAATATTTTTAAAAAATAAGGGAAAGAAAATAGACATGAAGTTTATTAATAATGCTCTTTGGTTCACTTTTGACATTTCTTTCTTTCTCCTTCCTTCTTTTCTCTCTGTTTTTTCTTTTTTTCTCTTTCTTGATGGAGTTTTGCTCTGTCACCCAGACTGGAGTACAGTGGTGACATCTCAGCTCAGTACAGTTTCCACCTCCTGGGTTCAGGGACTACAGCCATGTACCGCCATTTCTGGCTAATTTTTGTATTTTGTATTTTTAGTTTCACCATGTTGGCCAGGCTGGTCTCGAACTCCTGACCTCAAGTGATCCCCTACCTCAGCCTCTCAAAGTGCTGGTAATACAGGCATGAGCATCCATGCCCAGCCTTGACATTTTATATTTGATAATAAGGTCGTGATGAATGCAGAATCAAATGTTTTCAAATAAATATGGCTTAAAATAGGTATGCCAATGTAGTGGGTTATTAGAAAAATTAATAGCCTTAACAACTAACAATAAAATCTTTAATCACAGTGGGATAAAGTAGAATCTCTGTCAGAGTGTCTTCAAGTTACTAAATTCAGTTGACTTTAACATATTTGCTGTCTAATTACTGCAGAGTAAGAAATTAAACTTTCCATCATGGGTTCATCAGTTTATGGCTCTTCTCCTGGCAGGAGAATCATAAATTACTCACAAATCATAAATTACTGTAATAATAGAAATAGTTAATGAATCTATGCTACATAAAGCAGTATATTTTGTTAGATAGGGTGATTGCAAATGACACTTGTCATTGTAATGCAGTTATACATTGGAAATGTTCTCAGTATTTGTGGGTTTTTTCCAGTATGTCAATATAATTTTAAGTGAAAAGGCAGATATACCTTTTCTTTAGAAAATGCAGACACACCGGGCACGGTGGCTCATGCCTGTAATCCCAGCACTTTGGGAGGCTGAGGCGGGTGGACCACGAGGTCAAGGGATCGAGACCATCCTAGTTAACATGGTGAAACCCCGTCTCTACTAAAAATACAAAAAATTAGCTGGGCACGGTGGCGTGTGCCTGTAGTCCCAGCTACTCAGGAGGCTGAGGCAGGAGAATTGCCTGAACCCAGGAGTCGGAGGTTGTGGTAAGCTGAGATTGTGCCATTGCACTCCAGCCTGGGTAACAGGAGCAAAACTCCATCTCAAAAAAAAAAAAAAAAGAAAATGCAGACACATAAATATATTTTCATAAGTAGCAGTACGGGTTTGTTGATTCTTGTGAAATAATTTGTTAAAACAGTAAGCTTTGTTAATGTATTTTAAGTGTTAAAGTTTTATGCACCACTTTTTTGTCCGCAGAGAATTCCAGTAGCCTATTAAAATATATTTATGGAAAAAAAAGATAAGGAAGGCAGGTTGATTGAAGAATATGTTAATCCAATCTGAAATCAAACCAGGCTTGTAAAAATCATGACAAAAGAGCACTATGGATAAAATGTAAGAATAAAGATAGGCTATCAAAGACTCTATTTATTAAGATTGGGCCATAAATTTGGTTCTGGTCTTTCTGTTGGACAGAAAGAAATGGCAAATATGACTCAATATAACTTCATTTTACTGTCCTCAAGGTGAAACCATACCAGTTATTCAGAAGTAATCTTTTTTCTATTTAGTTCCAAAATAAATTTCTGTTATGACAGTATTTGATATTTAATTCAGTAAGCATTGCAGTACATGATAAATAACTCTACTTCCTAAAGTGAGGCTTGTTAAATATTAAACTCACATATATGGACAAAGAAGAAAAATAGTATTTTTTTTCCCCTTATGATACTTCTTCTGAATGTTTTGCTGATACCAGGTGATGTAGGCAAGCTGATGAGCTAAATATTTTAGCCCATTCTGTATGAGAGTAGAATAAATTTGTTAGCTTTTCTGTCAATGTGACCAAGTTGGAATATAATACCTCGAAACTGCAAGTTAAGCACACTGTGTACGTGTAGAGATTTGTTTTTGTTTTGTTTTTTAAGCCATGCTTAAAATATGCTAAATTGAATTCACTGTAGGGTTTAGTGACATTCATTTTCAAGTAAATGGAATTATTTAAAATAATATTTTATAAGGGATGACAAGTTGATATTTCTTTTTAATATTTTATTTTTCTGCAATTTCTTTTATTTCTTAAAACCTAAAAGTTGTTTCATTTCTATATTAGGAAGTCATTGTTTGACCAGAATATTTTGCAGATAAAAATAACTAGAAGATTATTACAGAATTTAAAAAGATAATTGATTTAGAAAAATAATTTTTTATAAGAATTAAAAATTAGTAGAAAGGGATTCTCATCCAACAGGTGATTTTTATATTAGAATAAATAATCCTCATTGTCTCTTATCAAATAAATATTAAATATGAATATCAGATTTCATATTTACCATTCTATGTGAAAGTCATATAATT